CCATCATTTATAGTGCAGGAACACCTTTTACTCCTGTCCAAGCAATTAAAAAAAAAAAGGCAGCATTACCTCAAAGTAATGCACGAAGTTGCCCGAGGACCGATGGTTTCCCTCGAGACAGAGCAGCTGTATTCCAGAGCCTTCTCATCGCCAGGCTGAAATTCAGTCAACCCATGCCAAGGCCTCTGTCAGCCCCTTGATTGTGTTTTCAGTCCCTTCACAACCGCACGGCTGACTATTTCTGAACATACAGAAGCAGGGCAGTTTTGCAGACTCGATTGTGGCTGAGTCATCTACAGCCAAATCCAAGAAAACCCATGCAAGTCTTGTATTTTTACACATGGACTCAGACAGAAAAAGCAAAAGCAACTTTGCTCACACAAAGCCGATTTTGTGGTATATTCTGCTAAAATCCATTTGGTCAGTTTGTCCCTCACAAAGGGAGAGGAGTGAATACCGGTAAGATTTTGATTAAACCTTGAGGACTATTTCATGAAAGCAAAATTTAGAAATCCGAATTGCTCCCAAATTGAGACATTCAGGAAACTCATCTTGTCCCTTCTTCTTTTATTATTAAATCCTTTTAAATAGGAGAAATTTGAGCAGTGCTATTTTCGCACAGCACTGTTTATACACCTCCTAACTACAGCACAAGCAAGATACCACATTCCATGGCACATCAGTTAAACCTCTCACTACATTTCAGAGAAGGGCCACACAGTGGAGTAGATACCTACAATTTGAAATGAGAGGCAGGCGTGAGGCACTCCAGCATTTGATCTTCATTTTATGGCAGTGTACATGGATCACCCAAATAAACATCACCCACCAACCAGAAAAGTTACCAGAAAGCTAAATGGAGGAGGGCTGGGAGGGAAGAAGGGGCACAGAAATAAACGCTTTCTTAGAGTTATAAAAGTCCTTACCTAAAGAAGTGCCTGATCAGATTGCAGTGAAGTTACCATTACACCAATACCACAAATCCTTCCAGAGCTGAAAACTGCTCAGATCTAAGAGAAGTGAATCAGATCCCGGAGTAGCACGCTTGTGATGGAGGCAGGCAAAAGAAAATCAGCAGTCCTGACAGTTTTCTGTTAAACCAAAGCAATTCTGTTGTGACACATGCGGTCGGCAATCTTACAAGAAACCCCAGACTGCTGAAACCAGAAGGCAGTTTCATGAGTCTGTTGGACATCACTAGCTGAAGTCCATTCCTCTGGTTTTCATCTAGATCACATCTAGCCACAGCTAGAAGAGAGCCCTTCCTCATTGCAAAGCAGCAGGTCCATTGCTAACAAACAGGGAGACTTGGGTTTGTAAACGCGACTACCCAACAACAGGAGCTCACCCGGAAAAGCTTTACTTGAAGAGCTTCCAGGCAATATCATCAGGCACACACTGCAACAAGGCTGTGTGGTGGTTGGTGCCACGTGGGACTGGAACCTTCTCACGCGCAGTAAACCCAAAGCATCGATGCCAGGGTTGAACTAGTGCTCAACACTAAGGCAACGTAGGAACCCTCACCAGCAGCCTTCACCAGCAGAAGCCACATGAAAATCATTTCTTCATGGTACTGTCCAGAAGTACACACACTTACCTGCTCTGAACTCTCTTCTCCTCCTACTTACCACCTCCAGAACCAAGTAAACAACATCCGCTGCTCCCAAGGGCTTTTCCCCTACAGGAGCCTTCTTTTGGTTTGCTTTTGCACGTGGCTTTTGCTTTATCCACAAGTTTTTCCTCACTTTTGCTCTTCCCCTTCCGACTGGTACTACTGCAGTAAAAATCAGCAGCACCTGCTCTGCTGATCACACTTCAGCAAACATTCCGGGGCATCACACCAAACAGTTAGGAAAGAGGATTTGCTGTGCTCTGAACACAACTCACACCTGTTGAAAAAACAACTCAGAAAAAATTTATTTACCATTATCTACAAAACAAAGACTTAAAAGCTTGCTATGACATACAGAACACAACACATTAAGAACAGGAAATAATCATAAAACAGAAAGAAATGCTAGTAAAAACATTGACATGAGAAATGCTAAGAACAGTCCATTTCCCCAGGAGCCAGCTGGGCACAGAGTTCTTCCTCCAAGGAGCCCACCACCTTTCCAGGAAAAAAAAAAAAGAAAAAGAAAGAAACAAACAGTAAGTTTAAAAGCATCAGTAAATAAAGCTGCCACTTCCAACATTTCCAGTGTATTGGGAAGAAATTTACAAAAACCAAGTACAGAGGAAAAATGTCAATGCTGCAAAATGTCAATAAGGCAATCAGAGCACAAATGGGAAAAAAGCTCTTCTATTTACACTTACTCAGTTTTTAGAGCCATGTCTACAATGCCATCAGTTACAGTGCAGGCTACATCTCTGCTGAATTAACTGGAGGCCCCACTGGTGGGATGGAAGGTAAAATACAGCCACTGGCAGTCATACAACTAACCACGGATGCCAGGAGCCTATTTGCAACCCCGACTCACTTTGTGTGGTACGTCCTCCTCTATATTACCAGCCAAACACAGATCCCAGTGCTTAAAATACAAGGCTCTCACCTTTCCTAGGGGTCTGTCTTTCCAAAAACACCTGGAAGGAAGGGAGAAAGAGGAAGAGAGAATGTAAACAGAACCAGCTAATGCTTTTTTAAGTACCCAAGGATTATTTTCTTTTCCAAAGTGCTACTAAATTTTGATAAAAGATGTTTGAAAGATTTTTCAAAACCTCTGGAGAAGTGAAAGAAAAGTATTTCCTTCATTTTATTACTATTATTATCACCGTTATTATTATTACTGTTGTTGCTGTTGTGTCTGAAGAAAGTGAGTTTGTACTTGAGGCACTTCTTTAAGGCAATGAGAGGAGGAGAAGATCCCGGCCAAGCTCACACTGAGGTTCATGTGCGTACAGCCTCACACAGCTCAGAGGAGACAGCACAAACACACACACGCTTCGCTCTCCCTTCAATTACCTGACAGTGATTGGCACAAGCTTTACACACTGGTGCCAGTGGCCTCATGGTGGGAAATCTCGTTGAATAATAAGGCATTTCAATACAAACTGGAGACCCAAACAACAAAAAAGGGAAGAACAGACTGGAAAACCTAACAGAAGCCCACACCATATACAGTAACCCGTGCGAAGTGGCAGGGAATGGTCACTGACTAGAAACTAACAGCTCAGGATAGAATTAGCCCGAAATACAGCCAGCCCTGCCCCAACCACTACTGAAAGGAAAGGAACGTGGTTTGGTGAAGACAAGGTGTCTTGCTCACAAACTCCCAGTCAAATGGACCAGGAGAAACAAAAGCCAGAATTCCATGAAGAGAAAGACACAGAAAGTAAGAGGGACGAAGGACAAATAGGAGCAAAACAGTCTTCATCTGCCACCACACATCTACAACAGCCCCTAGATGCCACCAGTTCCAGTCTGGGAAACTCTTTGAGCTCAAGTGTCTCCTCTCTTGCGGTTTCCCTTCCCATCTGGCACAGCAACACAACCCTGTGCACTAGCACTTCCCAGCAGCACAGAGGGTTCCACGGGCGACCCTTTCAACCACTTCAGAAAAACTCATGGCAGATGCAGGAGACTCCACCTACTGAACTTAACTTCCCAGGCTTTGCAGTTCAAAAAGGAAAGAATCAAAGATGTCGGGGCAAATAAAGAGGAAGCCCAAAAGCAGAGCGCCTTCTGCTGAAATACAAGCAGCCGTTCACTTACGATATCTCTGCAGGGCTCGACACCAATCCTGAAGCAGTTCCCAAAATATCTTCCGTCACTGCTCAGGGCTTTCCGGGCTTGCAGAGTTGTCTGATAGCAAATATGCATCCAGTTCCCCGTGGTGGACATCTAGATGAGATTAAGGCACAATTGTGACATGCAGGCTTTTAAAGAAGGAGCCAGAGCATTTCAACAAATTAATCCCTAACTAAGACATACCACATGCTTTAATATGTTTCCATATTGAGCAAAATGATGAAGAATGTAGGAAGCTGATGCTTGAGGGAATCTGAATGATGGAAAAAAAGAAATATGGAAAAAGTTACAATGAGTAAGGCTGGTGCTCCAAGAGAACCCTAGGAAGGGGTTTTAGGTATCCACAAGAGAGCAGGCCGTTCATGCTCAGGGGTGGAAGCTGCCTTCCTACCTTGACAAAAATAACAGGCAGCTCAAGGTCAGGTGCTTCGCTAACAGAGGTGCATTTGCTGGCTTTAACCACAGCTGGATTTGCGGCAGAACCCAGGAATGCCAGACAACAGCAATGGCCAAGTACCTCTTCCCACACGCTGCCAGGATTGCACCCCTGAGTTTTCCAATATTTTGGAAATCCACTTACCCATACACCGTGACCCATCTGCCGTGACCTTGATCCTCTGATCTGAGGCGATAAAGCGGAGCATAAAACCCATCTGGCTGCAGAGGAGGGAGTGTCGTCCTTCGCTGCCACCCACTTCCACGACTGAATGTACTCGGAGCTGTTAAATTGAAACGGCATCTTTAACAAATGACTTTTGCCAGGCAAACGTTACTTTTGCTCAGGAGCCTCAACGGAAAGAATCAAGTCAGTCTCCAGCACTTCACTTGCTTATGGAAGAGCTTGGGAGAGACTCAGCTGCAGACACAAACAGTAAATCCATCCAAGCTTCCAACCTGCAAGCACGCTGGGAAGATTTGTGACTCACGGCCCCACTTTCCCCCTCAGCCCTGAACACCAGCAGCTGAAGGAGGGGAGACGGGAAGAAGTAAAGCTGAGGGCAGTTCAGTCAGAGTGGAAAAGTATTTCACATCCCCATCCCTTTTGAAACGTTGACAAAGAAAGATACAACTCCTTCAGAAATTGGCAAGGACTTGATGCAGCTTCAACCGTCAGGATTCTTGTCTATTGAGGAGAGCACCAAGTCAATTCTGTATTTGGACAGGACATCTACCTGCTCCTGGAGTTGATGGCATCCTTCCAACCAATGGGCTCTGGCCTAGAGAAGAGGTTCTTGTCATGGCCTGCAGGGAAACACAGAAAGTGTAACAAGTCACCCTCACAGGTACACTTCTCAGATCAGCAGAGATCATTTCCAAGGAGCTTGAGCATGAGGCAACAGCATTAACTCTTTTCCTTCAATTCCTCCTCCCCCTTCAGAGTGAGAACAGACATTCCCATGGCTATTTAATACAAGATGATTAAAGCTACTCCTGACAAGGTATTTGACAGTGTTTTCACATTCCAGCACACAGCCCAGCAGAGAGTCTGGACATGCAGGAGCCTCAGCTCTCACATCCTGGCATTTCCAGCTGACTCCTAAGCCTGACAAGGCCTACAAGAAGAAAGCTTACTTAGGCTTCGGGTGTTCCTTCAGGGAATAGGAACCCCAAAATCCCTGACCCTACACCCATCCCATAGGCTTTGAGAAACCAAGGAGCTTTAGGTAGTGATGCTCACAAACCTTACAGGTTACCTTCTTCAAAGCAGGCATCTCACTAGTGCTGGAGTAGAGCAACTCAAACGTTCACCTGCCTCCTGATGGAGGGGATGCCAGGATCACAAGTCACCGGCATCTGAATTTCACTGTCTAAAAGGCTTAGAAATCATGAGAGCATCGTCCCCGCTTGTCATCCTCAGCACTCACGATTCTGAAGGAAAGTGTACTTAGCAGCTACCAGCACTTCAGACCGACTAGTGCTTCATGGCTCAGTTGGGGGAAGAAAAAGAGCTTATTTCTAGAATGACCTTCTAGAAATGTTACCATTACTCTTTCCAAATTGACCTCACCTCCTGGCCCAATTTTGGATCCCATGTTTCTCTCACTGCAAAATTCCTTCCAGTTCAGTAAATGGGCACCTCTAGTGCCCATTAAAACAAAAGATAACATCTATTTGCACCCTTCAGTCCATCTGCAGCCCAATACATTCACAAGAAGGTGCAATGCTGGGACAGGTCTGCATTTGTCATGGACAAAGCACAGCAGAGGTAGGATTTGCATTGGTCGTTCTCTACAGTACCAAAACCCCAAACCAAGAGGAGACAGCTCCACAACTCAGCTCGCATTCAAGCCACACAGGAACAGGCACACCAGGCCACCAGACTAAGCCACAGCACCAGCTGAAGACTCGCTGGGCATTTTGCCAGTATCTAAGCCACTACTTACTGGTGTTGATGAGCCCAGAGGTCCTGATCCGCGTCCAAAAAAAGATAATTCATCATACCGGCTTCTCACTGGTGGTGGATCACATCTGTCTTTCCGTGTAGGGGCTGCTGGCACTAAGGGAAATAACCCTGCAATCAAAAGGGACAAATGAAGAGCCTGAGAAATCCTGGAGTTTTACTCCACTGCTACTTGTTCTTGAAACATCAACAGGAAAGTCAGCCGGGAAAGACTCTTGATTCTTTCACTGGGGGTTTACAAAACCACCTGGCCCACTGGGTCAGGGATACTAGAGAATGGTCACAGTGAGACACGATGGAAACTGACTAGTGAAGCCAAGCCCAGTATACGCACTGGGGCAAAACAAGGGAACTCAGTCTTGTTGTTGCCAAACTATGGGCGTACCCATGAGACCCTGACCTTCAAAGAAGGAAAACCACCAGAAGATGCAACAATGTGGTCACCTCTACGAAAGCCACGGTCAGCCAAGCCACAGCACGAGTCTGGTGAGGAATGCTACGTGCACTGGCCACGCGTGCAGCCACCCGAGCTGGGGCTTTCCCACTCCCTGGGGTGCAGGAGAGAAGGGGGTGTCTGGGGCGGAGGGAGGGAGAGACACCAGGGCACTTTGGAGTCACAGGGGACGCCCTGAAGGTGCTGTGCCTACCTGCCCCCCACTGTACCCAGGTGAGTGCCTACCTGCCCCCCACCGTACCCAGGTGGCTCCTCGCCATCCTGCTGCTGTCTGTGGGTTGGTGAGACTCTCCAGAGTAACTGCTGCTCCTTGGTAAAACTCTCCTAAGTACCTCTGGTTTGTTGGTAAAACTCTCCTAAGTCCCTTTTGGGGCATTTGGGAACTGCTGTTCAAGGCTTCTCAGTGAAGCCCAGTTAACGGTTGGGAGGCGCAGAGGGCGGGGGGGGGCGGCGGCCAACGGAGGGGCTTTGGCGTTTGCCCGGCGAGGGCTCCGAGCGCACCGGGGGCAGGGCTGGGGCTCGCAGGGACAGCTCCGGCGGAGGGGACTCTTCCCGAGCGCATCTGCCGGGGCAGGAGACACCGGGACTGAAGCCCCCGACGCTGGGGGGGTCAGGAGCTGTGCGTGGTAAAACTCTCCTAAGTACCTCTGGTTTGTTGGTAAAACTCTCCTAAGTCCCTTTTGGGGCATTTGGGAACTGCTGTTCAAGGCTTCTCAGTGAAGCCCAGTTCACGGTTGGTTTTTCCTGTCAGCTCTCGTTTGGACGGTGCTGTCTCCCTAAAAGAAGCGGTTACACCGGGTCCAAGTTCCCCGTGACCAGGCATCAAGCCTGGAAACACAACCACCAGTTTCTGAGTAAGAAGTCCTTTGGAGTTTTTCTCCCTCCAGCTGTTTCAAGTCAGACAAGCAGTAGGAGACTTGTTAGAATTCAGGGCCAAGACACCAGCAGCTGGCACAAGCTGCTTTTCGGGTGCCGGCAGGCGTGTCTGTTTGAAACCAGCAGCTGGCACAAGCTGCTTTTCGGGTGCTGGCAGGCGTGTCTGTTTGAAACAGAGATGACACCGGTGGCTGTTTTCCCAGTTGGCTTGTGAAGAGCTGGGTGACTGGATCCCATCTCACCAGAGGTTCCTCTTCCCTGCCCCGCCAACCCACCCTTTCCTGCACCAGAAGGGCCATGTCTCACACCCTTTGGACACTGAAGTGTGCCAGGCTCCCCTGGACTCCCCAAGTGGAGCTTGTCTCCAGGAGGAACGGGGGCCCAAGGCACGGCTGCACCGGTGCTGCCCAGCAGCAGCCAGAGAGCCCAAAGGTGCCCTTTCGGGAGAAGCCTTCAGCACGGAAGGAGCTCTCACCTGCCAGCAGCGCCCACAGCTCCCACACTCTGAGGGGGATGGGGCGACCCACCACGTCGGGCAAAGCGCCCATCAGGAACTCGGGCAGGAAGCGCCCCTCGGCTCCTGCCCCGGGAGCCATCGCCACCGAGCACCGAGAGCGGCCGGCGGAGCGCGGGCAGCGGCGGGGGACGGAGCCGGGCAGCGGCCGCCTCTGAGGCGCCTCGCGCGGGGACCAACGGCCGCCGGCAGCGGCTCGCGCGGGGACCAACGGCCGGGGCTCGCGCGGGGACCAACGGCCGGGGCTCGCGCGGGGCCGAGGCGGCGAACGGAGGGGCTTTGGCGTTTGCCCGGCGAGGGCTCCGAGCGCACCGGGGGCAGGGCTGGGGCTCGCAGGGACAGCTCCGGCGGAGGGGACTCTTCCCGAGCGCGTCTGCCGGGGCGGGAGACACCGGGACAGAAGCTCCCGACGCTGCGGGGGGCAGGAGCTGTGCGGCACAAACGGCTCCCGGCCCCTGCTCCAGACTCTGCTTCACGCCTCACAAACGCTGGGGCTTGGGCTGGAACAAGTCCTGACACCGGCCCTGGGCTGTGTCCAATGACAGATGCCACTGAGAACACCCCCGATCCCTGGCAGGCAGCCAGAGAGCCCAAAGGTGCCCTTTCGGGAGAAGCCTTCAGCACGGAAGGAGCTCTCACCTGCCAGCAGCGCCCACAGCTCCCACACTCTGAGGGGGATGGGGCGACCCACCACGTCGGGCAAAGCGCCCATCAGGAACTCGGGCAGGAAGCGCCCCTCGGCTCCTGCCCCGGGAGCCATCGCCACCGAGCACCGAGAGCGGCCGGCGGAGCGCGGGCAGCGGCGGGGGACGGAGCCGGGCAGCGGCCGCCTCTGAGGCGCCTCGCGCGGGGACCAACGGCCGCCGGCAGCGGCTCGCGCGGGGACCAACGGCCGGGGCTCGCGCGGGGCCGAGGCGCAGAGGGCGGGGGGGGGCGGCGGCCAACGGAGGGGCTTTGGCGTTTGCCCGGCGAGGGCTCCGAGCGCACCGGGGGCAGGGCTGGGGCTCGCAGGGACAGCTCCGGCGGAGGGGACTCTTCCCGAGCGCGTCTGCCGGGGCGGGAGACACCGGGACAGAAGCTCCCGACGCTGCGGGGGGCAGGAGCTGTGCGGCACAAACGGCTCCCGGCCCCTGCTCCAGACTCTGCTTCACGCCTCACAAACGCTGGGGCTTGGGCTGGAACAAGTCCTGACACCGGCCCTGGGCTGTGTCGAGGGACAGAGGCCACTGAGAACACACACCCCTCACCTTTCTCCAGGCTCAGGAGATGCCCAGCTCCAGGCAGGGGCCACCACAGGCTCCAGAAAGAAAGCAGCTCTGCAGCTGCTCCTGCAGCACATGGGGCTGTGCTGCCACAGCCTCAGCTCCAGCAAATCCCCTGGGGTTCATCTCCCGGGGCACCAGGATGCCAGCTGCCACCACGGCACGGCCACTGGCAATCACAGAGAACCTCTGCTAGAGCTGCAGCTGTGGTGTCAGGAGGTGGACACCAGGAGCCTTACAAGCCCCTGCCAGCTCACGATAGTCCATCATTCCAGGGCTGGCAGGACCTTTCCTCACGGCAGCTCTAGGGAGAGCTCAAGACACAATTCAAGACTCACCCAGGAAGACGCCCACTGAGGACTAAATGGTCAAACCCAAAAAGACAGTCACTCCCACCACCGGCTCCATTAAAACACTAATATTACAGCTCATCCTTGTACAGCTCTCTGGTAGGCTAGGTGTCTCTGCAACAAAATAAATCAAGCACGTTTGACACTCTGAATTATGCAAATATCTAGAAACAACAGTAGATCCAGCTTTGGGAAGACGCCTTAAGCCTTTAAGTCAAGATGCACATTCACCCTCTCCCACTCCTAGGATCTGCCTGCGGGGAAAGCAGTTTGAGACTTCTCATTCTAAAGAGCTACCACCTTTGCCAGACACTGGAAAGCTGGCAAGTCCCAATAAACGCAGAGGAATCCCAATTCAGGTCTTTTTGCTGTTGCTCAACTTACCATTAGCAAGAACCAAACCTCTACTATTCAATATACAGCCCAGCTCCACTGTTAATGCGACAGTCACCCCGAAAATGGAATGTCATTCCTATCAGACTGTCCTCGAGCCTGTACACAAGGGTGACCCCTGTGCAATCTTTACTTTAGGACCTTCAATCTGCAAATGAACATTTTCAGATGTTCACAAGCACAATTCAATTACCAAGAAAGACAAACTGCGGCACCTCAAAATCAGCAGCAAATAAGGATGGACAATTCTAACTCGATTTATGGATGGACATGGGATACTACACGGTGTCCCAGTGCAAGCCTGGAAAATGCTGCAGGCCTTTGCTCAGGCTCACTCAAGGCAGCAGCAGGACCTTATCCACCGCTGCAATCCTACACAGCAAACACAGCAAAGTCAGCAACTTTAACAGGAGAGCTGAGAGCACCCAGGGGGAAAGCCCAGGAAGTCACAGTACTCGCCAGCAGAGAAAGCACCTTGGGCAAGGAAAGTTTGTTACTTTGCAGCAAAGTAACTTTTTTTTTTTTAAATAAAGAGGAAGTTTCATTACAGTTTTATGGCGTTCTAAAACAACATCTAACATCTAGGAAAGAAAAAAAAAAATAGAGCAGTAATAGCATGTAAACAAAAACGAAAAAGCAGTATTTCAACCTTTATGATCTGGCATTATTATCTGGAATCGTTTGGAAGCCCATCTTCACATCTCAAAGGCCTGTCAGCACAGAGCAGCACCAAGCATTTTCCCCACCGCAAGCATCGACACCTTGGGTTATGCCACCACAAAGCAGTGGCAGCTTCAAATCTGGTCCCTGGATGCACTGCGTGGCAGCCAAGTTTGAAACAATACAGAGCAAATAAAGCAATTGTAAGACTTGCAGAAAACCGCAAAAAGTATCTTTTTTTCAGGCCCCGTTGAACACACATTTGTAGTGTAACATACTCCTTTAAAAAGGTCTCAAAATAGTTCCCCTGATCCCTGCAGCAGCGTCTCCAATCCTTTCCCAACTCGCAGCCCTTGGCTCCCATTCCATTTCCCAAGGAAATGCCAGGAAAGGAGTCAGAAGGCTCCGTTTCTCCGTGTGTTTTGCAGGGAATGCGTGTAGAATGGAAGAGGCAGCCAGTGGCTGGATGGGAACCAGGAGTTCCACAAGAACCCAGAGAAAACAAGGCAGGACACGACAACCAGCCCGGGGAGACCCAGTTTTCCCCATTCAGACCCAGTGGAGCACAGCCTGCAACCAGCCTCCAGACAAAAGAAATCCAGCAGCACATCTGGCAGGAGATGGCTGTCCAAAATACAGCCTCGGGGGAGTGTCCCGGGGGGTGGCAGCTGACTGGGCTCAACACCAGGGGAACTGACCCATGGACCTACCTGCTCCTTTTACATCACCAGCCTCAGCTCTCCTGGCAAAGCCATCCCATCTCGGTGCCCATTGCAAGGAAGAGCTTTACAGACTCACGCCCAACCCTCAAGCTCATTAGCTTTGGGGACATCTTTGCACATTTTGGCCTCTTTCGGACATTTTTGTTGTCTTGGACTTCTTGTGGGACTTTTTTCCCTTTTCCAGACTATTTTTGGCACATTTTCCCCGTTTCAGATTTTTTTTTTTTGCACATTTTGGTCATTTTTGGACTTCTTGTTGGAGATTTTTTGGGGACCAGTTCCTGGACCATTTTGGGGACTTTTTTGCCTTTTTTGGATTGTTTGTGGGACATTTTGGCCTGTTTTGGCCTGGTTTTGCAAATTTTCCTTTTTTCAGATTTTTGTTGCACATTTTGGTCATTTTTGGACTTCTTCTCTGCTCATCCTCCCTGGATCCCTCCCGTTAACCCGCAACTGTTTGATCAGGAGCCTCCCCCAGGCTGGGCACTGGGCAGACAGGAAGGATGAGTGGTACCTGGATGTGCCCCGTGCAGCAGCATCAGCCTCTCTCACAGCTGTCGCACGGCTCTGCACCACACCAATGCAAACCCTCCAAAGGTTTATTTTGGCATTACTGCTCTCCAGTTTTCTCTCTGCAGCAAGTATGCGATATAATAAGTGTTATTTCCCTCCCAACCTCTCACACACCCCTCTCCTCAATGAAAGTATGAGGCTGCCTAATCTTTGTATGATTTACTGCCTGGGGAAGCTCTTTTGTCACTACTTAGCTCTCCCCAGGCGTGCAGGATTTTTTGAGTTTCTTATTACCTGGCATTTAATTAGTGGGCTGTTTCCTCCCTCAGTAACGAAGACACTAGCTCGCAGCAGACCTCACTTCTGTCTCTGTTGGAAAACACAGGTTGTTTACTCCTTACTCTGCACTTTCATGTTTTGTCACTACAGTTTTTGCATCAATATTAGACAGGAGAGTTCACACCCCCCTCCTGCTCAAAATACATAAAACCCCACACAACATCCAATTCTTCTTTTCTGGTATTCAAATAAACTGCATTTGCTTCTATATTTTTTTGTTTTGACCCAAATTTCACCAGCTCCAGCAATCTTAAAATCTCAAAATTCTTAACCACTTCTGTGTCCAAGAATTTGAAAACCAAACCTGGTGATGGCCTATTATTTTGCTTTGAGAGAGACAAAAGCAAGGGATCAAGGTGCAATATCTATCACCTTAAAAGAACAAGAAAAGAGTTTAATAATACACAACAATGCAACTTTTCTGTTATTTTATTTATATTAGTGAAGAAAAATTTAAATTTCTTTTTTTTTTTTTTTGTTACAATTGCTTTCTCTGGTGGGTGGACAGTTCCTACTGCTTATTTAAAGGCTAAATAATAATTCCTGATTGCATGATTCACTTCTACACTTTAAAGTTCTCATATGGTATTGCTTTCTTCCTCTGGGTATATAAAATGGTCCATTAAGTCCATGATTTTTTTTTTCAGAATCGACTGTTATTCTAGCTACTGTTTTAAGATACATTCAAATAAAAAGATACTTAAATTTACTTGCAATAAGTGCACACATACAACAGCAAAGAGAGCTGATGACATTTTACTAA